AAAAAAATCAGAGGTTATCGGAGGAATCCTTAATTTATAGTCTTGTATTTTTTAATTCCCCCATACTAATAAGAATTATTCTAAAAAATTCATTCATTCAAGAAATAGTTACTGAGTACCCGCAACTACTATATGCCAGGCATTGCTACTATGACTTTTTTTCCTACATGAGAAAATGAATCCAGTTTATTAAAAACTCAACTTACGTCAATTTCAACATTTTAAGACAAGATACCAAAAAACACTGTATTCATTCTATCAAACTAATTTAGAAGTTATTCAAAACTTAAGGAATTAAGGAGAAATGAAGAGCATAAAGCTATGAGCACATAAAATGTAATGGCAAGTGTGGTGGGTTGAATAGTGTTCTTTCCCCTGACATTCATGTCCACCTGTAACCTCAGAACTCAATCTTACTTGGAAACAGGGTCTTTGCAGATGTAATTCGTTAAGAATCTCAAGATGAAATCATTCTAGATTTATTTATGGTGAGCTCTATATCTAATGACTAGTGTCCTTCATAAGAAAACACAAGAAGCAAATACACACAAAGACAGAGGCAGAGATTGGAGTTTTGCTACCACAAGAAAAGGAATGCCAGCAGCCACTGGAAGCTGGAAGAGGCAAGAAACAGATTCTCCCCTAGAGCCTTCGAAAGGACTGTGACTCTACTAACCTTGGTTTTGGACTTCTGGCCTCCAGAACTGAGAGAATAAGTATGTTGTTTTCAGCCACCCAGTTTGTGGTACTTTGTTACTATGGCCCTAGGAAACTGATACAGTAAGTTTATCAGTTCCTAAGTGAATTTTCTAAAACATGACATGAACAAAAGTAATATCTTTTTGAAACAGGTTTTCTAAACTGCAGTACACATGCCCAAGTATTCTTGAATGGAACACTGCTGTACCTGATGACTGGGAACCAACCAGATGTTCAGCGTGTATGAGCAGCAGTTACTCCCATGCCCTCACACAGTGATATCCGTAGGAGTTACTTCGCTGGACAGGACATCTTGCTCCTAGGACTTCTTGCTCCTGGGCTATTATGTTCCAGCTCTTGTGGTTTTCTGCTTTTTAAGTTGTGTCTCATCCTTCACAGACTATCAGAAGTCAACGCTGACAGCCCCCTCTCCAGTGTTCTAATTTGGGGATTCTGATTTTCTATGGGCTAGAAAAACCATAAAACTAAAATTATAGTGGATTTTCTAAAGTTTGCTCTACAAAACAAACACTAAGACTCTCCACAGAAAAAGATTTCATAATCAAGGAAGTCAGAAAAAGGACATATGTTCTCCCTTTTGGAAACTCACTCTGCACATAAACATGGTAAAGGCTCTGAAAAAGCCCTGTAGTAGAGAAACCTGTTGAAAGCTGTTTAACCTGGTATTTCCCGGCATTAATTGGATACAGGCTTTTCCCTTCAAGGTTTTCAAATGATGTCCCAACTCTGGTGACTCAAAAATACTTTTTCTTTCAGCGTAGGCAGTATCCCCTCTATTCTTTTTCTCCTTTTCTTTCTTCCCCAGCAAGTCTTAGTAATTTAAGGCCATCATATGATGATCTGCTGTGTTTTCCTTAAAGGTACAGAAATACTTGCCTTGAACCCAATTACCAAAATACATCAATATTAGAATTTCAGTAGCATAATACTTTTGAAAATAGTCTCATCACTTAGGAAACACACATTGTCACATTTGAGCCTCACAATAAACCTATGATGCAGGTAATATGAGGCTCTGAGATAATTATGTAATTTGTCAAGGTAAAGCTATTAAGTTATCAAGCTGGGACAGGTCTTCTGACTCCAAGTCTTTTGACCTATCCATCATGTGCAGTGTGAGAGGGAAAAAGGCATAGCACAATAACAAAACCTGAACTGTTTTCTCAAAACTAGGCTAAAGATTCTCCATTGACTAAACTCAGCTGCAGCCGAATTGATTGACTGCTCCACAGTCAATCAATCAACATATCAGAAATGGACCTTTCAGGAATATGCATTACTAAGAGTTTTCCCCTTTCTCCGAGGTTCAAAATTTTACTCTTCAAACTGTCGCAATTTTACAGTAGTGCTAAGGTGTTGCTTTTAAACGAAATAGAAAACAAGTATTTCTGCCACTGAAGCATGTCTCTCACAGCAAAGGTTACTAGAATTCATGTCTTCCTCAAAGAACAGATCAGTCAACTAAATATTAGCTAACTACCTGTTCTTGCTATCTAAAGGGAACTTTATCTAACTGTAAAACATTGTAACAGATGCTCTTCTAATCAGATGTGCAATCCTGAAGTGAAACAAGATCATACTCTGAAAGAGAGGATTTTAAATAGGAAAGAGATGCCACAAAGATAGAAATATATCTACTGAAGATATGCTAATCACCAAACTATTTCATTTACACTCTAAATTAAAATAATAGTATCTCATAAAAGTATTATGGAAAAAACAATCCTGGAGAGGGGTGAACTTTAAGTGCTATAGGTGGAAATTTAAGAATGCTACCTTTTCTTAACAAAACGTTTCAGGCATACCAAAAGGCACACCAAATACCTATGTCTCAACCACCACTAGCTTAAGCAATAAAACAGTATAGATACAACTGACGCCCAGTATGACTCCTCCCAGATCTTTCTCCTTCCTCTCTTCCCAAACGTAACCACTATCTTGAAAGTAGTGTTTGTCTCTCCCACAAATATGAATCCATAAGCGATACTGTAACATTGTTTTTCATGTTTGTCAAATTTAATTTTGTATACTTTTGAACACAAATCTGCACTACACAATTCAAAAGTACAAAAGGAAATAAGATGAAATGTTCCCCTGCTACCTAGTCCTCCTCCCCTGAACAACTAATTTAACAGTTTCATGTTTATCTTTAAAGAGACACTCTATACATATGCAAGAAGCTGCACAGATAACATATTTGCCCTGCTTTTTATACATAAATGGTAGGTATACTTATACATTGTTCTATTATCCCCTTATTTTTCCTCTTAAAAATACACCTTGAAAATTGTTTTCTAAATTATATAAAGTTTCTTGTTTTTCTTAATGTTTGCAAGGTATGTCACCATATGGATAAACTATAATTTAACTGCTATCCTTACTTCCAATCTTTTGCACTGACAAACAATATGTCAATGAATACTCATTATTTCACATGCATGAGTATATCTATAGAATAATTTCCTAGAAGTTGAATTACTGGGTTAATTTTAATAAATACTGTCACACTCTATAGAGCTGGTACCAAATTATACTCCTACCTTCAATGTATGAGTATTTTTGCATGTTTTTAAAATTGATATAAATAACATGACTGTACATATTCTTCTACTTCTGCTTTTGTGGCCCAACCTTCTATACTTGAGAATCACCCATGCTGACATAGATAGCTCTAGTTCACATATAGATTTTTTTACTTAAATGTGTAATTTCCACTGTGATTCATTAGTTTTATGTATACTCAGCAACTTAATAGATTCTATACATAAACAACTCATTTGCCAAAGACCACCCACCTCACTAAAAAGACAGCCTTCTCTTCTCTTGGAAAACTAACAAAAACTGCCATTTTAATTTACTGCAATAGTTATATGACTCTTTGTTCATTCATGCTTTTATAACTGTTCTACCTGGGAGGAAGGGGGAGTGGACCAGCAAGAGAGTGGAGACTGACTAACTCTGACAACCAGAAAAAAGAAATACCTTAGAAGTAACAAAAGATAATTCAAGCATAATTCCAAATTAACCCTCGTTGTCTGTTTAAACTTTCTCCTCAAAATGTTACCATTAAGTTACCAAAAGATTTTTTTTTAGCCTGTAACAGAAAACAAAATAATCACTATGAATTTACAGTTTCCTCCTCCCAAATTAAATTTCCTCTAAGCATGGAATATTACACTGGGAATTTTTCTGTATATCAATATCTACTCCAAACTGTCTCCAATGAAATATATGGCTAATCATATTAAGGTTTCTTGTCAAATTAAAACTAGTATTAGTTACCAATGTCACCACTACTATAGCTATTTTTGCCTCACTGAATATCTATGTCCTCCTTTCTCTCTCCTAATAATTAATATCCATTTCTGTATAGGTATCTACTCTGTCCCTCAACACTATCCAAGTACTTCATCAGAAGATGCTCTTAATAATATTGAATGTCAACTGTAATTGAAGAAAAATAATTTTTAAAAAAGATGTCCTCCCCCCCCCTCCCAAATATCTAAGAATGGACCATATTCCTCCAGGGGTAATTCCATCTCCCTTGCTTACTTAAGAACGTAAGTAACTGGCACAAGGCACCCCAGGCCAAAGGTCTCATAAGCCAATGAGACTCATGAGAAGTATGCTGAGATTTCCTTGCTCTGAAGAGAGAACCTCACGAAGAGATATTCTTGGCTAGACTGAACTGGATTTTCTATTACTTGAGGCAAAAAGCATCTCAACTGTTTAACTGTTTGATCAACATCAACTAATGTATTTATGAACAAATTGAACCATATCTATGAAACCTATGATCCTTTGACTCATATTGGCCATTCTATATTTGGAGAGGTTGCTGACTTTGACAGCAACTCAAGAGAAGCACCTGTGGAGGAGTGAAGGCTAAGGAACAGCAGTCACTGGAGGAATTCACGTCACAGCCACATCACAGAACAAATTCGGGAAACAAAAAATTTCCTCTTGCTTTCCCATCTGCCATGCCAAAGCCACCTAGCAAATAAGAGACCCGACTCTTCTCAGGTCTGTATTAGGAAAATGATGAGCTTCCTAATCTAAGCAAAACTCTGGGAGGGGTGAGGGCACCGAGACTGTCATCACTATTTTGGGGGCATTAATGGGCATTTCTTACAAATTCTTGTAAACTAAAAGCAGTTTGTAAATGCTAAAAAGAGACAGCACAGCCAAAAATAAATAACTTCAAGGGCACAGAAACCTCTTACTGACCTAATACCCACCCTAATAGCTGTTATTACCCTATTCTGGCATTTGCTTCTTACTTTCTTACATTGTTGGCCTTGCTGATTTTCATAAGAAGGTTTAGGCAGTTGCTTCCCTGTGGGCTATACAGCAATTTTCCAGTTCTATGACTCAGAAAGGACAAGAGAAGGAAGTGTTCTCCTCTTCTATCCCTAGATAAAATCAGAAAATGTTTATTTAGCTCTGGTAGAGCAAGGCTCAGTCAGTCAATTCACTGTACAGACCTTCACAAACTTTTTTTTCTTTTAAGTCCAATATTTACCAAGAGCTTAGTATATGCAAGTCATAGGCTATTATTTATCCAAAGCTCATGCACGAATTATCATCATCAGTTCCACACTTCCTTCCTCTGCATCCCTAATAACCAAGTCAAGTATTTTAAAGAAAAAAAAAAAATCATGCCTCACAAAGTTTGCAATTAAACTTCTCAGGCCAGAATTAGCGGATTGGAGAGCAAGTGTGCTATTTTTCCAGAATACCATGTTGAAACACAATGGTAAGAAAGTCCACATTTTTCTTAAAAAAAAAAAAAAAAATCAATCAAATGATGTGTACTAAATCGTTTATTAAAATGTAAATATCCTGTGAAAATAAATGGAAAGGAACGGCATTAATGAACTAATAAATACTATCTGGAGGCAACATCTGCACTTACTACCAAGTATGACATACAGACTGCAAAACTGGTAATTCAGAAACACTGAAGGCACGGAGTCTGCATTCGAAACATAAACATGCATCGCAAATACAGGACCAGTTTATATTCATTAACTGCTCCTAAAAAAATTAATTATCCTTTCCGATGAGATGGCCTTTTTAAAAACTCTGTATTTAAAAGAAAAGCAACCTGACTTTGCGGGGGAAACAGATTTCACACTTGAGAATCAGCCTGAGCAGGTGAGTCGACAGCCTCTTCAAGAGGACGGAAATACAGACAATGCCGAGGACGGCCAAGGAAGCGATGGGCTGAGGGAGCACAACCCAGGCGAACAGGAGGCCGTCTCCCCAGGGCTCCAGGCCGAGACCCCCGCGCCCCCTCCCAGCACTGCGAGTGCGCCGCGCAGCCCCCAGACCGCCCACCTGGGAAAGTTCGCACCTCCGCATCCCCGCCCCTCGCCTAGACAAGCCCCTGATCAAAATAATCAAATTTGACAATTTAATGAGTTATGGATTATAAACGTAATACATTTAAGTGACTTTTTAAAACATGCTCACTATAATAATAATGCATACTCGTTGTAGAGAATGAACAATGAAAAAGTGCCCGCCGGAGGCAAGACCGGGACTGCGGAGCCCGAGAGGCAAGGAACGCAGGAGGCGGGGGAGGATGAGAAGGTGCGAGAAGCGGAAACCGCCCGGATCTCGGGCTCGGGCCCAGCCCTGCCCCGAGGGTCCTCACCCTTCACTTTGCCGAAGGTGCCGACCCCCAGCGTGTCCCCCAGGATGTAGTGGCCGATCTTCACCCGCCCGTCGTGTTTCTGCTTCTCAGCTGTCGCCATCTTTCTCCAGGAACTGAGTCTGCGCATGGCGCCGCGGGAGGGGGCGGAGGGGGCGGGCAGGGCCCCGCCGGG